AAAAGACTAAAAGATTCCAAAAGGATGCTAGAGAGATGTCTCAGCGAGTAAGGGTGCGTGCTGCCAAGCCTGAAGACTTGAGTTCCATCCCCGGGACCCACATGGTGGAAGCAGAGATCCAACTCCTGTAAGCCATCCTGTGACTTCCACATGTGTGCAGTAGCAAGCACCCTCCCCACTCAGAAAATGTTTTTTTAAGACTCCAAACACTCTCAAGCCATTCTTATGTGTGTGAATTGTGGTGAATGATGACTAAAGGTAACTTTCAGGCAACTGGGTTGAAGTCAGGCTTGGAAGGAAGGGTTTGTGAGTCTCCTGGTCCCAGTAGCTCATAGGCAGCCTCTCCCACAGTGAGTTTGAGTTTAGAGTGGGAACATGGCTTTGCCAAATATGTATCTGTGCTCTGTCACTAACTAGATGTGTTCCCTCCCTCCCTCCCTCCCTCCTTCCCTCCCTCCCTCTCTTCTTCCCTCTTTTTGAGACAGAGTCTTACTATGTCACCCTGGTTGTCCTGAATTCACTCTGTAGACCTGTCTCTGCCTCCTGAGGGCTGGGATTAAAGGTGTGCGGTACCACTATGTCTGGGCATCACTGGATAGCTTTGCTAGCTCTGTGACCTGAAGTAGGCTGGAGACTTTCTTGAGACTCAGTTTCTTCTTCTGAAAAACACCGATGCCACATCAGATCAATCCCAGCACTTAGAAGTCTAGGTAGAAGAATAAATTTCAGGCTAGTTTGGGTTACACAGTGAGATTCTGGCTCAAAAAGAAAGCACCTTGCAGTAGATTTGGTGCTTACTGAGGTAGGTACTGGGTGTTTAATAATTGAGACAATAAGTTGAGTAGGTATCAACTCAGAAAGCTACTCTGCCTGTGGCTGGGATATGAAAGACCCCTCCCAATGTGTTTCAAAGCCAAGTAGTACAGATTTGAGGTAGGTAGCTATTTAGGCCAGAGGGTTAGCTCGGGAAGACTTCCTGGAGGAGAGGAGTTCGAGGTCAGATGAAGGGTATGAGAGACACAGCAAACTCATGTGCCTGTTGGCTCAGGGTCCTGCATATCCTTGTCCCTAGGACTGCGCCCAGGGCACGGCCAAGTGTGTGGTCTTCAGCTGCCCACTCTACAGCTTTGATCGTGTGGCCGTGCTGCATGTCTGGGGCCGCCTCTGGAACAGCACCTTCCTGGAGGTGAGGGCACTGCTGGGGTTTCAGGCTGGGCGTCTTCTGCAAAAATCCCCCCTGGAGCTTACTTTTACCTCTTCCCTGTCCAAATGCATCACCCTCTAAAGCCAAACCAGGCAGAGACACCCTCTGCACTGGCACCATTCCATTTGTAGTCTCTGGCTGGAGAAGGTTGAGGGGAACATGGGCATTTTAGAGGTCTCCTTCCTGATCTATTAGGAGTACATAGCTGTGAAGTCCCTGGAAGTGATTGTCCGAGCCAACATCACAGTGAAGTCCTCTATCAAGAACTTGTTGCTCAGAGATGCATCCACAACGGTACGTTGTCAGGCTGGAGGATGGGGTGGGTAGGGGCTCTCCCCTTCCCGCTCACTCCAGCTTTTGCCCTGTTAACTTCTTGTTTCTCAGATCCCAGTAATGGTGTACTTGGACCCCATGGCTGTGGTTGCAGAAGGAGTCCCCTGGTGGGTCATCCTCTTGGCAGTGCTGGCTGGGCTGCTGGTGCTGGCCCTGCTTGTGCTGCTGTTGTGGAAGGTGAGGATTGGGGAGGGCTGGAACCAGTGTGAACCAGAATTAGAGTAAGGTGGTTAGTCTCTCACCCACACATGCATTTATCTGGCAACTCTACCAAACTCCGTTAGCCTTGGATATTTCAGAGTTGACTCCAGGACATATCTTGCCCTCAAGGACTGTGTATTTAGTGGGAGTGGGAGAGTCTTGTAGTTAAGGACAAGGCAAAAGGGGTTGAGTTGGCATGGTGGGAACACAGAGGAAGGAAGTCTTTAGAGGATGGTCTCCTGGAGCTGGGCCTTAGATGGTGAAGTGGTAGGATAGGGATGCGGGTAGATGGCGTGAGTGGAATGTGAGACTTGCAGCATAACCCAGGTGGATAAAGCCACAGGGGTAGGAAAGTGTTGTTCAATTTAACCAGAGTATGGCATCCAAGGTTGGGAAGGAAGCTGTGATCAAGGCCAGCAACATTGGAGCACTAGCTCCAGGGAACTGCTGGGCGCTGCTACATATGGAACCATTCTTGATCTGATAGAACATAGATCTGTAACAGAATCCTGTTGGCTCAACATAAAAGCACACACATGCACGTGTCAGTGCAGAGGACCCACCCCTGAGCCACATGCTACACATGGGGCTTGTGCAGAACCAAACACATCCTTGGGACTCTGTAGACTGCCCTGCCCGCCTGCTATTTGACAAGTGTGCATCACCAGTGAACCAGCTCTGGAGTGTCATCAATGCCACTGAGAACTTGCCCAGTCCTGGAGACGGTTAATACCTTCAGGATTGGCCTCAGGATGCCTGCCTGTCCCATCCACTACTCCTATAGAAGGGAGACAGGCAGATATAAAGGCCCCCTCCCGCCTCAGCCTTCCCATCCTCTGCCTCTTTCCCCTTCTCCCTCAACACCCCAGTGTGGCTTCTTCCATCGGAACAGTCCAAGCTCATCATTTCCAACCAACTATCACCGAGCCCATCTGGCCGTACAGCCCTCGGCCATGGAAGCCGGGGGTCCAGGGACTGTGGGGTAACTGCTGTGTGTGCATGTGTGTATGCAAACGTGTATATCTATGTGTGTGTGTATGTGTGTGTCTAACTACAGATCCAGCATTCGGAAGCGGGGAGGTCAGGAATGTGCAGGGTAAAGAGAGGAATGGGTACAAGTGTGATGAGGGTTTGAATATTTGAGGTAAGAAGTAATTAGAAAGGTGGGATTATAAGTGTGAGCATACACAGCCCGGCATGCACAGGGAGTGAGTAGGCTAGGAGTGTCGGCATGTGGGGTCCCATGCATGTCTTTTCTGTGGGGATGAGTGTGCAGAGATGATTGTGCAAGGAGACCCTGTGCTGTCTGAGCATGCAGGAGTCTTGGCTGTTCTGAGTTTCAGTATGCAAGGGGCCCAACACCACCTTGGTGTTCATGGATGCAGGGCTCTGGCCTAAGGGAATGCTAATCCGTGTACAAGCACACGAGTCTATGTCTATGGATCACCATTCTGGGAGATCTGGGACACTATATCCCTTGGATCTTGTTGTGTTCTAGGAGACATTACTGAGGTCTTTAAGAAGCTTGGGTGGGAGAGGAAAGCTTGGGAGTCCTGATCAGCTTCAAGCCTCTCTTCCAGGGGCCAAGGGTGATTTCCTGGGTTTTGTACCTTGGGTTTCCTTCTGGTCTTTCTCTGGCTGTGAATAAGAACCTGGGATTCTGGTACTGGGATCCTGGTACTGGGAGCTGCCCACTGTGCTTGGATTTGGCCAGCCTACCTCACGTTTGTTTCAGCTGGTTCTTTCTAGCTCAGGGATGGTGAGGTGCCTCAAGGGGCCTCAGCCCTGCAGGCTTCTCATGGCCTGTCTTGGTATCCTTACAGCTGGGATTCTTCAAGCGTGCAAAGCACCCCGAGGCCACTGTGCCCCAGTACCACGCGGTGAAGATCCTTCGGGAAGACCGACAGCAGTTCAAGGAGGAGAAGACAGGCACCATCCAGAGGAGTAACTGGGGCAACTCCCAGTGGGAGGGCTCTGATGCACACCCCATCCTGGATGCTGATTGGCACCCTGATCTGGGTCCTGATGGAACTCCCGTGCCAGTCACTGCCTAACTGTCCTTGTTCCAGGCCTGTGTGTCCCTTCCACCCTTGGGATGGAGATAGTGAAGTAGGTTGTTGGTGTCACATTGAGATATGGCAGCCTCTACTTCCTCAGGGGCACAGACCTCTCCCACTGTGAGAACTCCCCCTCCAACTTCCCCTTAGAATGCTGTGAGACGAGGGGGCATTTCAGGGATGGGCTGTGGGGCATGGCTGGAAGGGCAGGCCTGTCCTGATGCAGAATGGGGAGTAGGGGTCCTGATCTCCTTCTCTCAGCTGCCCTGAATACCATGTCTTCCCCAAAGTGCCTTAGACAGAGGGTCAGGGAGATCATGTCACTGTCTCAGGGGCTCTCCCCTCCCTAGTCCACCCTGTCCTCTGACCTTAGTGTGCTGTTCCAGCCTAGTGGTTTTTGTCTATTTATTAAAAAAGTATTTGACAATAAAAACTCTGGTGACTTTATTGAGTGCTGCTCTCTCTCATCTTGAGGGTTTGGCTTCTTTCTGTCCCTCTGAAGCTCAGGACAGAGTGGATAGTAGGGAGGGATGTAGTTTGTATCTATCGCTCAGTGTTGCTCTCAATGGTAGTAGGTTTTAATTTGTGTATGCTTACCTTTCCTTTTCCTGGAGTATACTTGACATTTGTTACCATTGTGCTTAGTTTTTGCATCAGGCTTAAAACCTTCTTCTTTAGTCTAAAAGGGGAATTGTAGCAGTGTCTTGCCTGTGAACCCTTTGGGCGTGGCTTCAGGTGGATGGATGCAGAAAGAGGAAAGAAAGTATGAGGTGTGGTCTTGTGATCTCTCTCGCACCCTCTGTCTCTTGGGTCAGTGGATCTGATCAGAAGGGTAGAGAAATGCTCCCGAGGTCCTTTATTATTATCTGTGTAAGTGTTCTCTAATAAACAACCATTTATCATTTATCTTGGGTCTAGTGAAATCATTACACCTTTGCCTTCGGAGGGAGGCCGAGGTGGCCTGGCACTGACATGTGACTAGTTCCAAGGCGGGACATGGGTAGTGTCAGAAGAACAACAGTGAGAACTTTACCATGAGGACAAGGGAAAGGGAGAGTAGAAGTCCAAGAATGTGGGCAGACAAAGTCCAGGGCTCTGCAGTATGGCACTGTATAGTTTTAATGCCTCTGGAGAAAGCAGGAAGAAAGGCCGAGCATTGGTGGCTCACACCTTTAATCACCGCACTCAGGAGGCAGAGGCAGAGGTAGGTGGATCTCTGTGAGTTCAAGGCCAGCCTGGTCTATAGAGTGAATTCCAGGACAGGCTCCAAAGCAATACAGAGAAACCCTGTCTTGAAAAACCAAAACCAAAACCGTCGTTATGTTGAGGAAGTGTGGCACAGTAGCAGCGGTGCTGAGGACATTCTCATTCTTTACCTGACTAGGGTGTCTTCTGATTACAGGCGGGGAGCCTCCTTTTGGAGGGTTATTTCACAGCTTTTCCCATGATGTGGGGCCCAATAGGTAGCCACTTGAAGGGAGGGGACTGCCGTTCCATTTGGACGTCAGAGAACCGTGCCTTCTCAAGGTCCTTCCAGGTCTCTCTGGTGAGGTGGCAGCCATCTCCAATGTGTTTCCAGGTAGGCTCAAAAACTTGCTGCCATAGGAAGGCCCAGCTTCCCCGAGGCTCAGCCACGTGCTCCCAGAAGAACAGCAGTCCTCCCTGGGAGGGAGGAAGGAGGAGTTAAGGTCACTTACCTACTCGGTCTTGCTCTTTTTGTCTCATGCCCCTTCCTTCTCTCAGACCCAGCTTGCCAGATCTCTCTGAAGTAAGGGCTTCTGGCCTGAGAGTTCATGGAACCAACAGCTCCTGACATTGTATGTCTAGCTCCTGACCTCCTCACAGGGCACATAAGGACTTTTGGTAACTGGGCCGCCGTGACTGATGAGAGGTTTTTATAGAACGATTGTACACTGGGGAACAGGAGCAGCTGAGGGCTCTTCCAGGTGTGTAACCTTCCAGCATCGTGACATGACACTTGTCTACCATGTTCATGCTCAAGAACTTAGTGACTAGGTTATAAAAAGTCACATAAGAAAGTCTCATTGTATTTTAAATAAATTTACAGTTTTGTGATGGGTTAGACATACCTGCTAGATAGAGACGTGATCCCAGCCTCTCCTGAGACTCTGGTGTCTGGCAAAACCAAGACACCCCAGGGTTCTGACTACAGCAAGGCCCCCTCAAGCTCTTTCTCCCAGTGTCCTCTTCCCAGGGGACTCATTCTTTCCCATGCTGCATTACTGCTAGGAGGGCCTATTGTCCATAGCTCTTTCTCCAAGCCACATCTTGTCCTGACTTCCAGACCTGAACTTCTAATGACCTGTGTGGCTTCTCTGCATGGATAGCTAAGCAGATCCGGAGACCCAACACATCCAGGAAAGAGGTTTCCTGTCCAAGGAGGTGGCCATTTCATCCACTCTCCCTTCGGTTGTGCAAGCCAGAAACTTTGGAAATTATCCTAAATTCCTTTCTTTCCACACTCAGCCCAAGCTCTCAAAGACTCTGCTTTCCCCTAACACTTCTACTCAAAACCTTCTGTCCCCCCCACTTCCTCCACTAGGAGGCTTTCATTCCCCTCTCCTGACCTCCTCCACACCACGATAACTCTTTGGATATCAGTTTAAACCTCACTGTCTGCAGCCTCTTCCTAGCTCCCCTCACCGTTCTACTAAGCAATACTTTCCTGTGTTTCCAACGCATCCTATTGAGCCCCACACAGATCTCCTATCCACAAGAATAGGCCTGATTCCATAGACGATAGGCCACTCGGACGGCACAGTCTGCTGTCCCCATCTGGGGTCCTGAACTCTGGAGTTGCCATTGCTGTGTTCACCTGCCCCAGGCTCATACTCTTCCCACTTAGCTCACCGGCTTCAGGACTCTCTGGATTTCCTGCAGGACCTTTTTTGGGCTCCGCACAGAACACAGCACCAGGGTGCAGACCACCACGTCCATGGAGCTGTCAGCTAGCTGTCTCATGTCCTCTCCATAAGCCACGATGAAGCGCTCGTACTGGAGGTGCTTGTTCTCAGCCATGCTCTTTGTCAGGAACTTCTCAAAGTTGGGGTTTGGGTCCACGCAGGTGACCCTGCAGTTAGGTGGGTAGAACTGGAAGTTGGCACCAGTGCCACAGCCCAGCTCCAACAGGGCCACTTTCCCTGAGGTCCCCTTAAGATCTTTTATCTGGCTAAATAGTTCCCGTTTCTTGCTTTCCATCTTCTTGTTGGCCCTTTCTGTTAACTTGGCCATCAAGTAGGGGAAATAGGTTTTGCACACGGGCTGCCAGAAGCCCACCAGAGCCAGCAGGTGCAGCGGAAGTGTCAGGAGCAGCACCAGCAGTTGCAGAAATGGGACGAGGACGCCCATGATAACAGCTCCAGATGGTATCCAGACACTGGCGTTTTGCCTCTGCCCATTCTGGCAGATATAGCTCTCCCCTCCTCCTGTGATAGGACTTTGCTCCTAGCCTCTTGCCTACTATCTTTACTGGGTGGAGCATGTGTATAAAATTTCTCCAGTGGCATGGGTCACACAGCCCCACAGGCTCTTTAAAAGTTTTTTTTTGTGGGTGAAGGACCATAGCACTGCCTATGTTACTGTGTTTTGAACAGAGGAATATGGTTGGGTATGCTGCTGTCTTACCTCAGAGGTGAGTAGGAGGGAGGCCGGGGGACATATTTCAGATCACAGCCTCATGCAGATCAAAGTCTGGAGGCAGAGCCAACTTATTCTTTTCAGGTCTGTCCAGGTTGTGCAAGCCAGAAATTCTGGTTGGATTCCCTACCACACCCCCTGGGATTTTATAACCAGCAGCATGCCTTTGCCCTAAATGGTGGCCAAGTAGTATGCGTGTAAGCCCCTTGAGGCGCTCTAGTGAGTGACCGCCCCTCCCCTGAGGACCCCCAACTTCCGGGCTCTGCCAACAAGACATCCAACTGCCGTAATGGCTGAACTCAGCCCCTCAAGACACAGGCAGCCAAGATTTGGATTTGAAAACCCCACCAATCCCTGAACTTGAAATCCCATCATTCCTTGGGCTCACCCCAAGACCAAGATTTGAAATCCCACCTATCCCTACCCTGGAAAGCTCCATCCCCAAGAAACTATATAAACCCTGTCTTCTTCCCTGTTCTCTGCCGCTTCTTGCCTGAGCAGAGGCAGCCATCCTCCTGGGTTCTTTCCTCTCAATGCATCTCTCGTGTGACTTTGTGGCGTTCCTTGGCTCCTGACTGCCAGGATACCTTTCCCTTCAGAGCTGTATAACCCTTTGGGGAAGCCACCTCCCATCTCCAGCAGGAGTAGAGCTGTAACTCTTCCACTAGGGAAGCCTTTTCCCTCAGAGTTCTAACACCGTGTACACGGTTAGGCCTCATTGGTCATGAGAAGGAGGGAGGTTACTTGTCAGGAGAAAGGCTTTGGGTTTGGAAACATACCTCAGCAGGAGAATGCTGGCCTGCTGTGTATGAGGGCCTGCCCTGAAGGAGGACACTTGAAATAAAAATAAAACAAACTTTAAATATTGTATTTAAAAATTTATGTATGAAAATTAACAGCCATATTGTTCTAGAAATGTTGAACTTAATTTTTTCCATTTGTACAGACAGGGATAACACACTGTATTAAATATGTAAGGTCTTAAGAAAAACAAAGGGTTTTTGAGAGCCCTTCCCTTGTGAAGGTATGCTCTCTTGACCTGGACACATGGGGTAGGGCCTAGGCCTGGCCCAGG